AATGAAAATAAAGATCAGTTTAATTTTGTATAGTATACGAAAGATTACTATTATATTGAATATTACGACTATATACTTGGCTGTCAGTTTCTTCTTGTTGAGTACAGTTTTTGTTTTCTTGAATTCATCTCAGATTTGATTTATAAAAAATTGATTATTGTTGAAAAAGAAGACTATACTTCTAGGTATTGTATTGATTCTTTGTATGAGAGTGGAGAGAGCCATATGTCTTTATTATTGAACTTGAAATTAATTGGATTAGAGTCTTTATCATTGATCATTAACACAGATTTGTTTCAATTAACTTGAATGCTATTTAAGGTATAGAATGAATTCATGATGGTCATTATATTTTAAAGATCAGTTTGAGAATTGGCCATCTAGAGTGTATTATCCATATAAGTGAGGGCAGAAATATGATTTAAAAAACTTTGAATCTTTCGTTTAATGATGTTAGCTCTTCAATTAATGTGTTGGGTATAGTCGTGAAGTGAATTTTGTATAAAGTACAATAGAGGATCATAATATATGCATCATAGTATAAGAGAAATAATCTCTTTTTGATCAATTCCTAAAAGGATTAAATAGATGTCAGTATTACTATGCATGGTAAAACTTGATTAAAATGAGAAAGGAAGATCGAAATTAAAAATCTAATAAAAGCTTCTGGAATGTATAAACAACCTAGAGCTCTAATTTAACAAAATGATGTTAACATGATCATAAGCCTTTAACATGTCTTGAAAAGTACTCACAGGTTGTTATAGTGAAATGAAGCATTGTATTTGATGTTATCAAAAATATGGATTAGTTCAAAAGTGCTTCTGTAAGGGAGGCCAGCAAAATTATTTCCCTTAGGACGTTGTTAGTAGACAAGATCATTAACAGTCGACCATTTATTAATTTGGTAAGTGCTTTCCGTAGGCATTTCAATAAGGTTATCAGGCGAGTATTTATAAGATTGTATTTCCAAAGTTTGGGTTTAGGAATGGAATAGATAAAGGCTAAATTCCATCTGCTTGATGATAAATTGAGAGTAAGGCATTTGTATATAATGGTCTAAAGACATTTTAACGAAAAGGAGCTGAGATATTTTAACATTTTATTTGATATTTTTGATGGTCTAGGGGCTTTATCATTAGGAAGCGTCTTAATGATATTATTCTATTCTTTTTTGGTCAGAGGTTGTATTAACGATTTGTAAATTTCTAGATTGATTGATTCATCAGGGGCGTAAACTTGCTTTTATGCCTCTAGAAGCAGTAGATTAGAATATTGTGAGCCAAATATTCGTTAAAAATGATATGCTATTTCTTTTTAAATATCTTTGGAGTCTGTAAGGAGTTCTTTATCTGGGCTGCTATATTTATATATCTATTAAATAGAATAGTACTGCGAGATTTTTCTGATAATAAATCGAATATGGATTTCTGGTCATTAATCATGTTGATACATCGATGCTCGATGGCTTCATTAATTATTTTGTTTTAAGCTCAGCTTTGTTAAGCTTAGCAGCTGTTGAAATTATTTTGCGAAAATCAATTAACTGCAGCTTGATGATACAAATATCATTGATAGATGGTTGACTTATGTCAAGAAGTGTCGTATCAAATTCTGTTGAGAAAGCGCATATTTATTGTAAAGAAAAATCCATTTAAGGATAACATTGTTCTGGGCGATGTATTTGCTACTTAATTTATAAAGCTTTTATACTAATTTGATGCATTTATATATCAACTTGAGGATATGTGATCTTAAGTCTCAAGTATGGTGTGAAGTATATTTGTTGAGGATTGTTTTAGTCGCAGCATTAATGATTGATTTTTATAATAAATTCCAATAAAATTAAATTGGTGAATAGTGCGAATGTTATTTAGTATGAGAAGATTTAATCTAGTGTTTTTATATCTGTAATCTACTGAGACACTAAAGGCATTCCAATCGTTATCAGATATATTCTGATATTGAGAAACTAATTTTTTGTTATTGATTATTGTAAAAATGAGTGGTTGATCGTTGTTAATGAAATTGTAACATTAACTATAGCATGGTCAGATATATCGTTATCTACCCTGATAACTACTTGATTCACAAGATCAGTGACAAGTGACGAATGAATAAATATGTGGTCAATAGTAGAATCACCAATATTAGTCATATAGGTAGTGAGCTCATGGGTTGACTTTTGATTTTTGATCAGGTCCAAGTTATTTATCAGATGTAAGTCATTGAGCAACTCAAAAAATTCCTTTGAGTTTGTGGAATTATGTGTTCTTGATGGATCGGCATTAAAATCTCCAAGAAGGATCACTAAAAAGTTTTTTCATTGGGTATCATTTATAAGATCCACTGTTTTCCTGTAGGTTTTGTGGTATAATTGAATATTTGAGCTAGAAATATAAACATTGATAATATGAAGTTTAGTTTTATTTTTGAATTGAAGATCAAGCGAATAGATGTAATGATAAAAGGATGTGTGATGAAATACGTAGCCAACTAGGTGTTTTTTGACGAGAAAACTAACTCTGAATCCCATGTTTTGTGAAGAGGGATTTGTATTAAAAAAGGAAACAAATTTATTAGAATAAATGGATTTTAAAGAGTGTATGTGAGATGGGTTTTTGAAATTCGTTTTTTGTAAAGTGATAATGTTTAAGTTATAAAGAGTATAAAGATTAAAATGATTTATTGTTTGTGTGATAAGGTAAAAGAACAAGTATTGTGAGTGACAATGTTAAGGGCGAGAGGCACTGTTTTTGTATTATATAGTCATGAAATCATAATTATTTAAAGAATAAATCAGAGGTTGAGACCTCTGTACTATCTTCTAAAGTGTTAGTGATACCGGGTAAGTTGAGCTTAAGAATTGGAACTTTATGGCTTGGGTGAAATTCATCATAAACTATGTTTTGAATGCTTGAAAGGCAACATTGAGTTTTTCAACGGTAACTTTATGATGAGCACGTAACTTCTCATTTTTTTTATATAACAATGCAATATGTTTTTCATGTTCAGTTACTTTGAAGTCTAAGGTATTCACTTCAGGTTTATATACAGTATCAGTATTCATAATACCTTCTACTTTATTGGCTTCATTGAATTCTATGACTTTTTAGGGTGAGTGTAAAAATATTAAGGTGTTTTCAACTTCATCAAGATAATGCATTAAAAAGGCAAGATCATTATGAAGTGTAGCCAATGTTGCAGTAATGGTATCTAACTTGTTTAAAATCATCTGTGTATTGGTCAACTCATATGCAAGTATTTTGGTTGATTTGTTCTTCTCTTCTGTCTGTTCAGACTATGATTTGTAAACATGGATCAAATTGTCAAGTGATGATTATTTAGGTTTTATGTTGTTATCAGAAGAAGTTAGACTAAGGTTGACCAGAAGTTTAGCACCTTTAGTCTTATTTATAAACAATTTTAGATTATTGGGATCAAACATTGTGTTTTAGTTTTGAATAAAAGTAACTTTAGGGCGTGACGTAGGTGCTGAATAGTTCTTGAATTCTGCTAGTTTGAATCTTTAATACAGGTTTTAAGTTTGTCTATTCTTTGAGTTGGGTCTTCATTTTCTGCAGTTATATGAGTTATATTCTAGAATAGAATAGTATGTATATAAGTTAGTATCTGATGCAATCCAGATAAGTTTTCAATTGTCAAAATTTATAGGATCACCATTTTTTGCAGCTTTCATATCCTCTTTATTGCGAAAGTGCATAAAGGCATATTAAAGGTTTCTGTAATTTGATCTGGCTTTGAGAATCACCTAGGTGGTTTCATTTATAGCTTTTCCAATTAGTTCTATTTCACGGCCTGTTGTGTCTTTTGGAAGATTAGTAAGTTTTAAGGTGAATTGAGATCTAGCTCTAATTTCATTATTAGTAAGAGAACACATATGTACTTTAACCATATCTTTTAAAATAAATAGGCCTGCATGAGTATTGAAAAATGATAGATCTGCCTCAGATATATATGAGATGGTTGCTTGTTGCCAAAGGTTTTTCATTATTATAAAGTATTTGATGATCATATCAAATCGAGCAAATGTTAATCAGATAATCTGTTCAGAAGTAGAAATAGGACTCTTGGTAACCTTAATCAATAGACTAGAGTCAACTTAAATTGAGCGGATATAACAAAAAGTTTAAATGTAACCATTTTCATATTAGAAATTTTAGTAGCAATGGCACAGTTTGCATCTTCACATTGTTGTTAGGTTAATTTTCATTTATCTTAACGTCTAAGTTAAAAAGCTGTGGCAGCTAATTCTACATGTTGGAGTTTCTGACCTTAGGATTTTCTCTAAATCCTACAGATATCTGTTATACTTGAATCAACTCAGCAATTTATTACATTTTAGAATTTAAGATATATTAGTCAAATTCGTAATGATGAACTCAATAGCAAGTTAGTATAGTGTATCATAATAATCTTAGATGAGAGACAATGTTGAAGGGAAAACTAGTTTGTACGGATTTAAATTGATTCCTTTATTTATAACTTGAAACTCGTATGAAACTTACAAATGAGTTAATTTACAACTTGAGTAAAAAGCTATTCTATTTATACAAAATTAATTTGCTACAGCTAACTATTTGCTATGCTATAAATTAACTAAATATAAATATATGTTTCAATAAAAATATAATTAAATATAATAAAATAATAAAAATAATATAAACTATAAAAGTAATAAAAAGAAATAAAATAAATTACAATCATTAAAGAAATTATAGACGAAACAGAATAAATAGGATAAATAGGATAAATGGACTATACAGGAAATATAGAGAAAACAGACGTAATAGGTAAAACAGAAATTATTGATGATCACTGTTTGACACAGCAGTGATATCATCTAATATAAGATCATTATTGATTGACATATTTTATGTGATATTTGGAGTTGCAATTTCTTCTGTTAACAGTATGCTGTAAATCCTAATCAGATAATTTTCAACATTTTGTTTTCAGGATTTTGTTTTACTGATGCATCAATAAATGATAGGTATTTTGCGCTATTGAATAATTCACAAGTTTTGTTAGTTTTTTCATGAAAAGATTTATTGAGAAGGAAGGTTTCTGCAGCGCAGTAGACATAAAAGGTTATCATGTCTCTAATTCTTTTAAATGTAATAGTGTTTTTGCTGGTATCTTTGCCATTTTGCATATTTTTAGACGCATCAAAAGCCTGGTTTTCATCCATAGTGTTGTTATCACTAGGATCATCATTTCGCTATCCTTTGGTTTTTGGATAGGCACCGTGCTGGTGATAGAGGTTTTTTATATATTTTTATAGTCAGAAAATGAGGGCTTTTACCATATTCGAAGGGTTATTTAGCTTCAACTAGAATTGCTATAACTTATTGGTTGACGCTTATATTGTCAACTGATAAAATATTGGTGGTGTTTACAACTTTTAAAGGTCTAGCTAGGGTTTCAACTGTTTGGTCAGACCTGCCAGTCATAATTTTTTTCTGTGAAGGTTCTTTTTTGTTTTTTATTGGTAAGCTAAGACAGTTTCGCAAGTTGTGGTTATTTTTTTGTAAAAATTTTTGATTTTTTCTTTTTCCATTTTTTGTGGTTTTGAAAAGAGAGAGGAAAAGTCTTATATATGTAAAAATGATTTTTTTTTATAAGTGCAGCAGTCTCGTATGATCTTTATTAATATTTATGAATTTATAAGAAAAACAAAATAAAACAGAAAATACAAAAATATCTATAAACTAATCTAGAATACTAAACTACTTTATCAATACCAACCTTGCACTTTACTGAACTAAACTATATATCAAAAGAGAAAAGAAAACTAATCTAAACTAAAATATAGATATCAAACATCAGAAGAAAGGGCTTGATTACTGCTGAACTAGAAATTTGACCAATAAGTATTATAAGCAATTATTACAGTAAAGGAGGAAGGGTTGGCTGAAGGTATTTGTATAACTCGATAGAAATCAAGGGATACTCAAGCTACAGTGAAATCATCTTTTATATTATTTAAAGTCTTCCATAATTGTAGTGCTTCATATATTTCTAACCATATCTTGTAGACAGAAGAGAATATATCATCAAATAAGGATGATACAAAACCAAGAGTGAGTTGTTTGTTGTTTATGATATTATTAATTAATGAGGTAAAAGATGAGGGAATTATCCTTTTTAATAAACCTATAAAGCATAATTTATTGTTGATTGGGTTGCAATCCCATATTGAAGATTGTTTCACATATGAAATAGGTGTAATATTGTTAGGTCTATTGAGTTCTTTTAGGTGAGACATGAATGATCATTTGTATTCTTAAATGATTTCAGGAAGGAGTTTAGTGTTGTTAAGGCAATTTCAAATATGATCAAAATTTCAGTTAATGAAGAGCAACAGAAACAGATATTCAAAACATATGTTTAAAGGTATCAAGCATTCATTATAACCAAAGTGGGGAGTAATTGTAAAAGCAATTTTAATTTAGACTGTTTTCTTTTACAGGCATCAAATAATGTAACTCTAGCATTTTTTGAGTTATTGAGAACGTAAAATAATATTTGCTAATCAATGTGGTAGCTATTATATTTAGCAAGATATGAAAGAGCCAGAAAAGCATCTGCCTAAGAGGCTTATTGTAAGTGTTTAATGAATAAGCGGAGTGGAATAATAATAGGTATATTGTTATGGTATAAAGTATATTTTAGTTCTAAATGATTCGTATTGATGTGCAAAAGAGCACTAGTAACTTGTATTGCTAGGTGGTCAACGTGATTATTGAATTGATCATTTTCATGAACTTTAACTTTGGTGAGTGTAAGTTTAATATTATGCATGATTATGAGATGCAACATAGTCATCTAGATATGGAAGTACAAAATTTTGAATGCAAGGTTGAGAGAAGGAAATACCTTACAAAGTGTCATAATTTTGTTGTATGATGCAATTGCAGTTTATGAATCAGTACAGATTTCAATGGTAGAATTGGATGGTGATGTGTATACTGCAGCAAATATAGCAACTATCTCTGCTAATGTGAATGAGAGTGAGTGTAAAATGAGTGTAATATTAAAGAAGAGTGATGGCCAATTCTGGTCAGTTTGTAACCAAGCAATTCCCATATGACAGTTAGGAGATCCTAAAGAAGTGAAAGAACCATCTGTATAAAATTGGAGAAAATTAGCATTAGTAAATTAGACTCTAAGTTATTCTAATCTATTATTTGAAGGTTAGTCAAAAGGAAGAATTAATAAACTGGGCAAAGTCTTAGTTGAATATTGGTATGGAGAGGTCAATGTTAATAAAGCTAATTCTCGTAGCATAACGTGTGAAAGATTGCATCACTATCCCTCATGTAGTTTGTGAAATACTTTGAATATAGAGCAATAAGTTTTGGATAATTTTATAGCACAGAATCTATATCTTTATTGTTATTTGTATAAGATGAGAGCAGAGTGATCAAATATATTGCATCTGATACAAGGAGCAATAAGCATTTGGTTATAATCTGATTGAGATAGTAGATAGTGTTGTACATGAATGATTGTATCTTCCTCTTTGGTAACTTTTCCTAAGATAAAGGTCATGTATTGATTGATTCAAATAACTACAAAGGTTGGATTAGTTAGCGATGTTATGAATGTGCTGGTTTGTGTTAGAGTTTTGATTAAAGACACATGAGGGGCATCTATTAGATAATTGTCTGGTAGATGTGTTGATCAAAAGTTTTAATTCCAGTTGGTTAAACTATTTAGAGCTATAGAATACTGATTCATAGATTATATTAAGGTCAAAGGTTGTAAATAGATTGAGACCATCTATCGTGAAGAGTTAGTCAACATACAAAATTGATAATGATCATAGTCAGAACATTTTGCCAGTATAATTTCAAGGTAAAGAAATTTGAAATGGGAATAGAGCCTCCTTTAATTTGTCTTAAATTGTAGTCGATATCAATATATTGATAAAAGTGGAGACCATCATATTTTGTAGCAGACAGAAAGCAAAATTACCATTCTTTGAACAGTTTTATATCATTATAAGACTAATTAGTTAAAGGGGTAGTGATAATTATTCAAATAACTGAAGTGTATATTGCATAATCATGATGTTGACCCAAGGGTTGAGATGTTATTAATCATCTTTAAAAGATCAGATAATTTAGCTTGCATTTGTTTGTCATAAGATTGTATTCAAATGTTGAGTATATCATTGAAACTGGAATGAATCTTGAAAGACCCAATTTCTTTTTGAAGAAAGTTCTAAAGAATGTTATCAAAATATCATAAGTAGAATAGAGAATAAATGTTAGTTTAATTTTGTACAGTATACGAGGTTTACTACTATATTGAATATTATGACCATATGCTTGGCTGTTAGTTTTTTCTTGTTGAGTATAGTTTTTGTTTTCTTGAATTCCTCTCAGATTTGATTTATAACAAATTGATTGTTATTGAAAAGGGAAACCTATACTCCTAGATATCATGTTGATTCTTTGTGTTGTAATGAAGAGAGTCATATGTCTTTGTTATTGAACTTGAAGTTAACTGGGTTGAAGTCTTATCATTGATCATCAACACAGATTTGTTCTAGTTAACTTGAATGCTGTTTAAGGTGTAGAATGAATCTGCGATGATCATTATATTTTAAAGATCAGTTTGAAAATTAGCCATTTAGAGTGTATCATCCATATAAGCAAGCGTAAGAATATGATTTGAAAAGCTTTGTATCTCTCGTTTAGTGATATCAACTCTCTAATTAATATGTTGAGTGTAGTTATGAGGTGAATTTTGTATACAATACATTAGGAGGTCATAATATATGTACCATAGAATTGGAGAAATGATCTCTCTTTGGTTAATTCCTAAAAGGATTAAATAGGTATCAGTATTATCGTGCGTAGTAAAACTTGGTTAAATTGAGAAAGGAAGATCAAAATTAAAAAACTAATGAAAGCTTTTGAGATGTGTAAACAACCTAATGCTCTGATTAACATAGTGATATTAATATGATCGTATACCTTCAACATGTCTTGAAATAGGATCAACAAGTTGTTGTGATAGAATGAGGCATTGTACTTGATATTATCAAAGATATGGATTGGTTCAAAAGTGCTTCTGCAAGGAAGGTTAGCAAAGTTATTTCCTTTTAGGACATTATTAGTAGACAAGATCTTCAATAATCGACTGTTGATTAATTTGGTGAATGCTTTCTGTTGGTATTCTAACAACATGATTAGACGGGTATTTGTAAGATTGTATTTTCAGGGTTTAAGTTTAGAGATGAGATAGATAAAGGCTAAATTCCATCTACTCAGTGATAAATTAAGAGTGAGGTAACTGCAAATATTGGTTCAAAGACACTTCGACAAAAAAGGGACCAAGATGTTTTAACATTTCATTTGATATTTTTGATGATTCAAGAGCTTTATCATTAGAAAGTATCTTAATGATATTATTTCATTCTTCTTCAATTAGGGGTTGCATCAACAATTTGTAAATTTCTGAATCGATTGATTCATTAGGGCATAAACTTGTTCCTATGCTTCTGAAAGCAGTGTATTAGAATATTATAAGCTAACCACTTATTGAAAATGATATGCTATTTCTTTTTAGACATCTTTGGGGTCTGTCAGGAGTTCTTTGTTTGTGCTGCTATTGTTTATACATCTATCTAATAGAATAGTACTGCGAGGTCTTTCTAATAATAAATTGAACATGGATTTTTAGTCATCAATCATGTTGGCACATCGACGTTTAGTGGCTTTATTAATTGATTTTGTCTTAAATACAGCTTCGTTAAGCTTAAAGGCTGTCAAAAGTATTTTTTGGAGGTTAATTAACTACTGCTTGATGATGCGAATATCGTTGTAGATGGTTGACTTATATTTAAAAGTGTTGTGTCAAATTCCATTGAGAAAGTGCATATTTTGTTATATAAAATGATCTATTTAAAGTTAACACTATTCTGAACAATACATTTGTTATTTAATTTATAAAGCTTTTATACTAATTTGATATGTTTATATATCAACTTGAGGATATGTGATCTTAGGTCTCGAGTATGGTATAAAGTATATTTGTTGGAGATTATTTTAGTAGCAGCATCAATGATCGATTTTTTTAACAAATCCCAATAAAAATTAAGGTGATGAATAGTGTGAATGTTGTCTGACGTGAGGAGATTTAGTCTAGTATTCTTGCATCTGTGATCCACTAAGACAC